AGGGCAGAGAACCCGTGTAAGCCACATCATCAGTGGGTCAAAGGTCCGATCAGAAGTATTCTTTCCTCCATAGCTCCTTCAGTTGGTCAGCCAGAAGCCGTTTGAAAGCAGCGTCTGTCTTCTCTTCCACAACGATCACTGGAAGGGAATTCCAGAATGTTGTTGACCTATGTGAGTGTCGGTAGACCAACGGAAGACCAAGTGACTGAAGTTTCCGTAACGTGAGAAAGTGCCCCTGCGTGCGGTCTTCCATTCGTAGAGGAAAAGTACTGTTTTAGCTCCGGGCCAATATCACCTCTCAGGATCTTCCTAAGACAGATGAAATCCCCCTGAGGCACCGATACGCAACTGGGAACTGACCAGTAGCCTGTAGACGACCTTCATAGCTGGTCCCGCGTTGTCCAACAACGAGTCTAGTAGCAGCATGTTGTACACGCTTCAACTTAGCCAGTTCACCGGGTGTGCTGGGGTATGTCGCCGCACCATCATACTCAGGTCTTGGTCTGACGTGGGAAACTTACAGCAGTCTGAAAGCGTCCATTGTGAGCTGGTTGAAAGACCGCCGAATAGGCCTCAGAATGCTCCATGCGCTAGCACAGACCCGATCGGTGTTTCCTCGGGTCTTTAGTGATGACGTAGCCACAACTCCCAAGTCTCTTTCGCACAATGTTCTGCTCAATGTGGTGTTGTAATTCGAGCCTATGAGATTACGCCTACCCTGGAGCGGCGCGTCACAGTTTTTGGACACATGCGATCAATCAAATTCGAATACTGACGTCAATGACAAACATACGGCTTCCGACTACACGCCATAGGAGATCCTGCCAGCCAATCCAAGACAGTGCAGACAGAAACAGGATTATGCAAGCCGTATTGCAATCCGACTGGTGGAAGCCTAGATAACCAATAATCTTCTTTTGTATATATTATTTAGTCACCCTCATTTTGTTCAATAAACGAACTACGTACTACTATTCCCGTGGTCTTTTTCTCGCCTCTCGATCACCTAGGCTATTGCGAGCATGTGCCATTGCGGTCCAGTCCGTGACGGCTAACCCTTGATTCGTGTCCGGTGATTCCTATTGCGTGGTTTGTATTCCGAATTCCGTGCGTACCACTACGATTATTATAATCATTACATGTAGCTCCCTAGAAGTTGTGGACTACCTTTGATTCATGCCCGCCCCAAGTGCAGGTGAGCAAACTTTGCCGTGTTGACTGGAAGAGCCCAGGTGTCCACCCACTGAGCCAGGTTGTTCAAATCCGCTTGAAGAGATTTTCGATCATTCGGGGCATTGATTGTATGCCAGATTTTGATGTCATCCGCATACATGAGGGAAAGGCTGCACAGTTGACTGGGTAGGACGTTCACATAAACCAAAAAAGAGTAATGGACCAAGAACCCTGCCTTGGGGACCCCATTGGGTGCGGAATACCACGCAGATAGCGATTTGCCAACACGGACGCAGAATTTTCGGTTGATGAGGAGCCAGTTAAGCATGACCACACCTACACCTAGGTTGGACAGCTTTCGCAGAAGGCGATCGTGCGGCACCTTGTCGAAGGCATTGTTAAAGTCCACGAAGATGCTGTCCGTGTCATGTCCTTTGGTCTTGTTCTCGGTCCAGCATTCACAGGGAGGTGTGACACTCATGATCGACCCAGCCGGAAACCGTTTTGTTGGTGGCACAGGTGACCGTGGTACACCAAATGCTGCCAAAGCCATGCAGCCACCAGTGGTTCCATTACTTTACCCACAACACTAGTAAGGCTGACTGGTCAGTAGTTCCCAGGGTCACTTTTATCCTCAACTTTGGGCGGTGGAACAATGACAACATCCTTCCACTGCCGCGGTAAATGCCCTTGAGTAAACAACAAATTGAACAGTTTGCACAATGGCACTGCAAGTTCGTCTACCAGCTCTCTCAGGATCAGCGGATCCAAACCATCAGGTCCAGGTGACTGGTGAACCTTTAGTCGACGCAGCCCCAGGGTCACGTCTTCGGTGGTAAATGGAATCCAGTTCGGTGCAGTGTCAGTGTCCAGTAGATGTCAGTGTGCTGGAGTCTGGAGTAAACACTGAGGCATAATACGATGCGAACATCTCCGCTTTGTTTTCATCTTTTACGGCTAGTGCCCGATCTTTGGTGAGAGTCGGGAAACCAGGCATTGCTCTGATTCTTCGCCTGAGGTAGGCTTACAATCGTTTTGGTGCCTGTACGGAATCCTCTGCGAGTCGTTCCTTGAATTTGGTTCTCTTGCATTTTTTCAGTGCATTACAGTGGTTTCGAACACATCGATATTCCTCATATCGTGTACGTGTTGCACGGTACCTGGATTACGCTTTATTCCGCTGCCGGAGGCACGCTCGCAGTTCTCGGTTAAATCACAGCGGGCTAATAGCTTGTGCTCGGTGATGATGAGGTGGAACGAATTCCAGTAGGAGTTTATGGATTGTAAGACGAACCAATTGCCAGGATACATCCATATCCTCAGGGTTTCGGGAATCCCAATTTATGAGCAATGTAGTCTGGCGCATTTCTCGAAAAGATGAGCGCTACACATTCCGTCCGTCCTGTGGTCTGTCCGATTTTGGTACACCATGCCTCCAGTATATAGGCAGAACGGAGTGATCACTAGCTGCAATTGGTGGAAGGAGGTCAATCCTGGTCGTATCTGATTGCCTCGACGACAGCATCAAGTCGAGGATGGTTTTTGATCCCCAACTATCCATGTTGGCACATGAACATGCTGAAAAAGCGAAAGAGCCCGGACAGCGAAAAGAAGTTTCCTGGAAAAACATCTGCATGCTGAAAGCAGGTGTCAGTTTCCCAATAAAAATGTGGCGCGTTGAACTCACCAAACACAAGACAATGTCCATCGCGGGCGTACGTCTTTCTGCTGACCAACAGTTCCGGGACGCACACAGCTGGTGTGCGGTAGATCACTCCAACTGTGGTGTACCCTCCAGGACAAAGCTTGATTCTGCACCACAAGGCTTTATCAAATCTTTACGGATGGGCGTAGTTCTCCAGCCCTCGAACAGGGAGATCTGAGCGGAATAAAAAGCAACTCCACCACCGCGACGTGACGATGATTGATCCGTTCGAAACACTGTGTAACCGTGGAGTAATATTTCGGAGTCCCGGACATCCGGTATCAGCCAGGTCTCAGTGATTACATCAATCTCGGGATTGTTGGATCCAACCCAGAACTCCAACTCATCCCTTTTTATCAGCATCCCGCAAATATTGATTGAGGCTAGCACAGCATGGTTACCTAGCTATTCGCGTCTCAACCTAATTCCTCCGTCCGTGATTTAACAGTTTCCTGGGTCCTCCCCCGACCAGGTGTAGCCAACGCAGCTGAGGGCGCTTCCGATGCACAGGAAAATGCCGTGTACACAAATCAGTTTCCCCTTTTACACGACGCTCTCTGAGTTCTTCCAATGCAGTTTTCAGTTTACTGCGCTGGTCCGTATCAAGATCCCTGAGGAACCGCACCGGAGTTCGCTTCAGCTTGTGGGTCCGCTAGAGTATCGCTTTGACCTCGCTTTCTGCTCAAAACGTCACTTTCAGTGGTCGTGGAGAATTATCCTGGCGGGGTTTTCCAAGCCTGAATGCCGATGTTACTCTGATTGATGCCGCTGGTTACACCTCATCTCCATCAAACAAGGAAACCATGTGCGATATCAGCGGCTGAAGGTCATAGTCCGAGAGAGCCCGGGTGGCAGTGGCTTCAGCCCCGGAAGATTGACAACCATAATTCACTGAGATCTCAGAGGGAACTTCATCTACTGCATAGATTCCTCAATTTTCCATGACAAGTTACACGCATCTTGCCTGGATGTCGTGGACGAGGGAGCTGAGTCTGTCCGTGGGGGCGATGCAGCAGACGATATTCTTTCCCTTTTTTGGACGCTTCTGCTGCGGTGAAGCGGCAGGAGCTGCTTTTTAAGTAAAGTGGAAATGATATCTGCATTCGAAGGCGCCATTTTCACCACAGTAGCCGGCCCACATCAAAGCGACCTACGCCTAAATAAAATAAATAATACAGACCAAACAATCCGTTAACGGTGAAGCCCCGAAGCCCATTGATCCGTGTCCACAGAAGCGTTTCCAACTGTATCGACCGTTTATTCATAAGCCGTGGGGCGTCGCTTCTTGAATCAATTTGCCCTTCTCTAGCTCGGTTGCAGCGCTTCTTTCGAAATCATGAACGTTTATTCTTCACTCTACAACTGCTCTTCAAACTTGTTTCCGCTCATTTTCTCTTGAATGAATATTCCAACTTCCAGTTTTGTGTCTCACCAATTGTTTTTCATAAGACAAACGATCACATTGACTTGCTCTACATATCTGGTCACCCCAAGTGCTCCAACATATGACCTTGTCAGCTTTGTGTTTCATTTTCACCGTATTGCACATTTACGATATCTTTCGTGCCCGTTTGGAAATTACGCTCTTACACTTTGTACTGTTACTTTTTGTCTCCACTGTATTTTCTACATTGCTTTACATTTGGTCATGCATAATAGAATGCCTCACGGGCTTCGTGAAATATACCAATATTATTATTAGTAGTAGTATCGGGGCTAGAGTGATTTTGTAAGTGGAGATTCGTCATCCTTGGAAGGAATGTCCAAGCACCTACAGCACACGATCTTCAGGAATAGAGAGAGGTATTTCTCTAGCCATCCGTATTTTTCTACGTCAATTTGGGTTCATTTCAGGTGCAGCCACTCATCACACCCATCACTACGAAGCTCTTTGGAACTAGGGCCAAATATCCTAGAGCAGAAAACCCCCATGTTCTTGGAAGCTTCACTTTTTTGAGACATTTCTGATAGAATGGATCCAGTTGAATGCACAAAATCACAAAAAAATAATCCAATTTTTCACACCGCATAAAAAGTGGTGTACCACAGTGAAGGTCTTGAAGTCTTGAAGTATTTCACGGGTTTGAGGCTAAGCCCAATGGTGCCAGATCTTACCTTATTGTTTTCGATTGATGAGTAATGCTCGCTGACGAGAATTTGAGAACTAGTGAAAGTGGTTGAAATAGGGATTCAGGTATTTGAAAGGAACAACCTGATAGGGAAGAGGGGAAGGCAGGGGTGCAGTATCTGCTTGCAGTGCACAAATATGCGCTTCTGCATAGTGAACAAATTTTTTGCATGCATTTCAGTAAAACTTGAGATAATGCACGCTTAGAGAAACTAAGGAAATTTAAGACGCATAATTTTGAAAAAGGTTTTATGTTATTTTGCGTTTTCGTTTTTGTTTTGTCTTTGTTTTTTGGTTTGTATTTGTATGCACAAAGTTACTCAAGATCAACAAAAATTATCACCCAATCCAGTTGGGATAAATGCATTTAAAACAAGAACGCGGTGGATGGAGAGATAGACGAACAGATCGAGAGAGAGAGCAACTAATGGAAGTTGGTGGTAGGGTGTTTAAGACCAAGGAATATATCGAGCTTGTGTTTGAACATGCTCTTCGAAGGCGCGTCAACAACCTCCTGCGGGAGGCTGTTCCATAATGGAATGACCTCATGGGTAAAAACCAGTGACAAACTCGGGTGCGAGGCCGAGGCTTAAAATACTTTTTGCTGTAATCACGAAGAGCATCTAAGCTACATGGAGTGAAAACCTGGTTGGCCGTGTCCGTAGAAAATAGATGGTAAGAGATTATAAAGGTTCGCTCGAATGCGGCGGGTGTTTAGAAGGCAAAGGTTCAGTGAGATGAGACGGATGGGGTATACGACATGGGAGAGACCTGAGACTAACTTTGTGGCTGCTTGATGAACTCGTTCGAAGGAGTCACGATCACCCACAAACCCAAGCACGCAATCCGAGCTTTAAACTCTAACACCGATCTTACATAAGTACCGTATATGAATTTCCCCCATTCGATTCAACTATGCAAATACTGCCAGTTGACATCAGTCCTCCATCCGAAATGGAGGTTACCCGGGAAATAAGTCACATCAAACGGCAAAAGGCCTCCGGCCCCGACGGGCTGTCCCCATCCGTTTTTAAGGATGGAGGCTCAGCCTTGGTTTTGGAGTTAACAAAACTCCTGGGCTCAGTGTTGGAGAAGGAAGAGGTTCCAACTGAATGGGGTGAATCGGTGATCATACCAATTTACAAGAAAGGTGACAGATCCTCCTGTGAAAACCACAGAGGAATTAGTTTAATCAACATTGCCTCTAAACTTCTCGCCGGTATCATACTCCGTCGATTGTCTGCCGCACGTGAACGGTGTACGCGTGAGAACCAGGCCGGTTTCAGACCTAGTCGAGGCTGTATTGACCACATCTTCACACTCCGTCAAATTCTAGAACATAGACACTCCTTTCGTAGACCCACCATTTTTATTTTCCTCGAACTATAAGCGGCTTTCGACTCAGTCGACCGCTCTAAACTCTGGCGCTGCCTTTCCCTGAAGGGAGTGCTCGAGAAGTTTATTTCAACATTACAATCCCTCTACAATAATAGCCGAAGCAGAGTTCGAGCTTACGGCACTGTTTCACTCGAGTTCACCACGGAAAGTAGTGTTCGACAGGGTTGCCCTCTCTCTTCTTTTCTATTTTACTTTGTCATAGATTTCATTCTTGAAACAGCCCTATCCTTGTGCAGGGATAGTGGTATGG